GGAATATCTTGGCCATATACATGCGACTGGCCGAGATATGTAGACTTTAGGAATGGGTTGCCACCCCATTGTCAGAGGTGTCTGGGTCAGTTGTGCGTCGGCACGTCTGAGGCTGTAGGACTTCTGGTCGTCTGGATCGGGCCAACAAGGAGGGTGCAAAAGAGGAGAGGATAGGGAAAGTTCATGAAATGAGGGGACATCAACACCTGTGAGTTGGTCTGCGACTCACTTGATAATGGCTTCAGCCGCCCCAGTACCGGAGCACAGAGACACGAGAATGTATGTGCATGTGCATCCCATTTTACCTGTGCAGGCATGTGAGGGCAAGGCCGGTCACTTGTAGCCGGGCTGGGGGCTTGTCGGAGAGGCTGTCCAACGTTGGGACAACCGACTTGGGCAACCAACACTTCGAGACCGGTAACTTGTGGCTCTGGCGTTGGGGTGTGTGTGTGTGTGAGGTGAGGGGATTCGTTTTCTGGCCAATGGATGGGGCAGCCTCATGGCCTGCGAGAGGACTACATGATGATGCTACGATCAGATAATGACAAACATCTCTTCGTGAGGTTGGACCTTGAAGGCTGAAACTAATAAACCAGTCGCTGATGCAGTCGAATGCCTCATGAAGGCCCGTTTGGCCACTTCAGTCAAAGAAAATTTCAACGAGCCCAAACAGCATTTGCTCTGTTAGAACCTTTCGTGTCAGTCTACGTCTATCTTAAAGCGAGAATGGGCTCTTTCTGGTCCAGCCTAAATTGTGCAAGCATATTTGACGAATTTATTTGGCAATGCTAAAAAGACAATGACATCAATTTCGTCCATCGGCCCCAAGGCGATATGATTCATTATCTCCCAAGAGCGTGTCACTTCATTTGGCATCGGTAGAGCGTAGCTAATTCCACGTCCCGACGGTAGGGCTTCCTGATCCTAATTGATATTTCCACTCAACTTTGATCAACTTTAACCTGCTGGGCTTGAAAATAGCCTCATCCTGGCGCCGCTGTTTGTCATACTCGGAGCTTTATTCACATGACATGCTCGTTAGCCTCGATATTCCACTTATCCTCCCCTCCCATCTACTATCCAGTGCCCTGCTGATTGGAGGAAAGAACCGAGTGTTGGAGGTGAGATTATTGCTAATTATTGAATAAGCACTAAATCAGTCGGGAGTTAAGGCAGTGATTCCCGGGGAGCCGTGGCCTCTTTACAAGGGAGCCGCGAAATATTGTAAAAGCTTCAATTTGGAAAATGTTCAGTGATGTACAGGCTCATCCATCACATTAATTATTAAATGTTAATTTAATGTTAATAAAGTAAATAAAAATCAAGATACAAGAGTTTTATTTGTTTTTATCTCTTACTTACGAATATTTATATTTAGGGTAGGGCGCCATGGAAAAATGTCAATTGAAAAAGGGCGCCGCGACTAGGAAAAGTTTGGGAACCACTGATTTAAGGACTTATAGTTGAGCTTCACCACAACGCAATGGGCAGGTTTCAAGATGTCATTGAATTTCACATAGTTTCACAACCCAAAAGGCTGGACTGGGCTGCAGTCTCCATCCCGCCGAGGTATCATCAACAGCCTCGTCAGAATTCGATACCAGATATTGACTGTTATGGTGACGTTACTACTACAATAGACAACACGGGTACCAAAGGGTCAAGGGGCAAATGTATCATTCAAGCCATGTCAGGCCTCACCAAAATCACGTGAATACTTAGTTTGTCGATTAGGCAATCGTGCAATTGTTGAGCTCACTTCCAGTTCAAGTGAAAGTGAATAATAAAGAGATTCAAGGCTCGATCCTACCAGAAGACGACATTGACTGACTTTGCTAGAACATTCATGTCCTAATCACGTTCACAATTTCTTTGTGAGTTAATTTCTCTCTCTCTCTCTCTCTTTCTCAGTTCACCAACTTCACTAGACTCGCGTCCGATATTGAGCAATCGGAATGATGGTTAAAATATAAAAAATAGAATTAAGTATTGTTTTCGTGACTACCAGTAAATCAACAATATGAGATGTATTCATCCAATTTCGCTTAAGAATTCGTTTAATGATTTACTGGTAGTCACGACACAATACTTAATTCGAAAAATAAAAGTATAGTAGTCGATTGTTATAGCAGATATACGTTTGCTTCATCGACAATTCCACCAAAAAAAGAATATGATATGGCAAAAAGGCCTGGCCCTCCTTGAAAATTCACATTTTCCCTGTGACCCAAAAGGCGCTCGTGG